TTTTGACAGCTGTTGTACCATTAAAGGAGGTATTACCTTATAGTTTAGTACACTGAAATCACTTGATATAATTAATATCAAGTAAACAGTACAGAAAATCCACACTGTAAACTACATATCTATTCCCTCTTCATGTCATTGTTGACCCATAAGGCATTCACAGGCAACCTCCATTGCTGCAAGTCTGCTGCTTTTCTGCCATTAAATGACCCTTTACCACGCCTTCAGGTGTATTGATCATATAGGGTTAGATCTATATTTGCGAGTCCAGTCTCCTTGACTTCCCATGACTTTACTTGGTACACATTAAGGGCTGGGTCAACATGGGAGCCAAGGTTCTTTCTGAATAAAAATTCCAGCTGTTTCTACTTGTGGTATCTATACTGTAAAACGCAAACGCCTTCCTGTATTGTGTGTGTTTATTTTAAGTAAACTGTTGGCTGCTATTAAACCTTGACCACTACACAGGTTAAATTTTTGTTTGTCATAACTACAGTGTTAAACTTTACTTTCATATCGAAAGCCAGGTTTATGTGCATTTCTTTTATTTATTGCAAGAATCAGTAAAAGTAACCTTTAGCTGGAGTTATATCCTTTTGAATATTTATTTTCTGTTACATCCATTTCATTAATTAAACCTATACATTAAGATAGAGGCGCTAGAGAAGGTGGCTACTTTATCGATTAGGTTTAGGAGGACTGCCAACATGCCGAATGGCAACCCTCAGTCACTGCACTAAGTTGGCAGTGGCGTTAACTACGGAAAGAACTGGCATAGGAGGCTCCTACCACTCGAACTCGGGGCCAGCTCCTACACCCCGTAAAATAATAATTTGCTACAGAAAGTTCGGGGAAGAGAGGAATAGAGAATCACCAAACGTGCTTTGAAATGGGACACCGACGGGCTGAGGAAACAAGGGAATCCAAGAGAAACTTAAAAACGGAAAGCTCATTTTGTGCTGGCTTTTCCGAGGAGTTTCAGCTGATACGGCAGCGGTGGAGACGAAGCTGGAGTAGATGACGCGAGAAACAAACTTTCTTGTATTATTCCGGGCGAAGCCGGGCAATTAATCTAGTCCTATATGCATGTACATTACTTCATTTCCATTGTAAGTTCCGTTAAGTCGCCCACTTCTCCTATTTCCATCAGCCGTCCACTTGAAAACTTAAGTTTAAGGTTTATACAACGGATCAACATCATGGGGCAAGGGTAGTAACCCAAAAGTGCCCCGTTCTACTTCTAACCCAAGGCTGAGTCCGAAGAATCTCTGCACGGTGCACGAACTCTGTAGCACAATACACACGGGCGTCCTATCTTACTACCCAGAGACCAGGTCAGATTATGAGAAGTCCACGTGAAAACATCCCAGCCTGGACCCAGGACCCCCAGCACTCGAGGCGGACACCATGCCTCGAGACCACTCAGCCCTCCCCTCCCCCCTAACTTGAAAACTGTCTTTGGGAAAGTCACGAGGCATTATACATACAACACACTTGTCCAAGTCATCTCTGTCTTCTTACTTTGATTATGCTTGCCAGTGATGAACAATATGTTTTCATCCTCATCTTAAAACACTCACACACTTGTAATTTAATAATGATGTGTTCAATGTGTGAAACAACAGCAGAGACACCAGTGTTATGAATATGCAAAAATAAGCGGTGGCAGAATTAATGATTACAGTATTATATAGCAATACTAGCACAGTGGCTAGTCCGAAGGTCTAGAGATTAAATCCTCATCAAATTTGTAACTGTTAATGTACTGGAAAGTAAAGGCGGCCGGCATGATATTAACCAGTTCACCCAGCGAGTGCCAATTAGTTTATTAAAATGTGAATCTAGCGTCGTATGCTTGATTTAATTATGATTTAAGTCTTTCTGTATCATGCAAACCGTTACACGTTTCACTTAGGTAGTGCACAGACAGTAGACATGTCTGATCTCTTTCTGTCAGAGACAGTTATTGAATTAACGGATTATGCTCGGACTGCAACTCAACACACTATTAATATTTTAACTTCTTTCAGCTCTAACGCACCCATTTTACAGATCATCTCGGAATAGTAAAAGATTATGTAATCTCGGGCCGGTATCGAAAGAGCTTAAACGGGGTTCCTCCCTTACTTACTAGTTTCACATGTCAGATAATGAGATTATATCTGAGATAACCAGTAAATGAGATTATTCACTTACCTGATTACTGAGTTATCTAGACCAGTGTGCTCAAGCTTCTGACATCCGCGGGCCGGCAGAGCGGGGAAAATATAGTCGCGGGTCGCCTGACGGCTTATCAAAAACGTGAACAAAAACACAGACAGCAGTTTTTTTTTTTTTTTTTAAATCCGATGTCATACAAAAATATTTTTTTGCTGCCAAAGCGACACCGAATACTGCTTACAGGTTAGCTGAATTTTCATATGGCACACTCTCATTTGTGCAGCAGTTGTGTCGTGTCAATATTGTCCGTAGCCAGTCTACATGTGAGCTGGTGAAATACCTGATATAATAATTCTACGTGTGTATAGCTAACTTGTGACCAACTACTTCTGTTAGCGACAAACTGTATTATTGGTGGCGATTGTTGGCTTTTTTGGCGCATCTTGCAACTGCCACATGTATTTACTGCCTGCGCATATTTCTGGGTTGTGCCTAGGCAGTTGTTAGGTCACCAGTTTTTTTTTTCTTTTTGATGGGCCAATGAGAGACATTTCATTTGATTGTCACCGGCACAGGAACGGAGCATGTATGGGGAAACCCCGATTGTAGTGATGCTAAAACCTCGACTAAGAGGTAAGACAATCAATCGGATATGTGTCTCGCACAAAGACTCACTGGCCATGCAACAATATAGTGTCGGAATCCTCCAGTCCGTGGATCAGTGGTTAGAAAACCGTAGTATAGACATAATATGTGGTTAGTGAGATTGCAAAAATTTTACAAATGAGATTACATAAACCCAATAAAGTGAAGTACATAAACAGTAGAGTAAAGGACCCTTTTCCACGCCTTTAGGCATATAGGGCTAGACCTATATTTTTATAGACCAATCGGCACAAGATCAGTGATGTGGTCAGCATCATGCCGGCCGCCTCTACTTCCCGGGACTGCACCCGGTACCCACTCAAGGCTGGGTCGACCTGGGAGCCAAGGTCAATTTTGAAAAATCTGCGGCGAGCGTCTAGCCGCTTGGCCCGTACATAAACATAATAAATAATAACATTCACATCTTAAAAATGAAATTACAGTCGCCCAGAATTTAAATTACCCGAACCACTACATATAATTATGCCAGTTTTACAAAATCAGTTGCTGAAATATATATATATATATATATATATATATATATATATATATATATATATATATATATATATATATATATATATATATATATATATATATATATATATTTATATATATATATATAACACTTCTCAAGCATTCCGAGCTCCATGAGGTTCGTTGCTGCAGATATCACCCGCCTCTATTAATCTCTCTGGTTGGCCTTCTCTTTCCAGTTGGGGACACCAAGTGTTTGCAGATCTCTCTGGATATAATCTTTCCATCGTCTGGTTCGTGGTCTACGACCATTAATCTCCTTTGTGTATACAGTTTTTCATCTCTGTCATCTGACATTCTCTCAATATACCCCAGCCATTTCAACCTGTTAGCTTTCATGATGCCAGTGATCAAAGGTGATTTAAACAGATTATGAATTTTGTTTTTGCTTCTCAATCTCCACTTACCGCTGTTTACATCTTTGATAGGTCCAAAGATTGGTCGTAAGACTCTGTTTTTGAAAACCTGTAATAAGGCTTTATCTCTTTTAGTTGTGCTCCAAGTTTCAGAGCCAAATAACACGACTGGTCTTATCAACTTTTTATATATTTTGATCTTGGTGTTGCAAATGTTATAAAAATCAAACACTTGTATAACTTTAAATATGTAAAGATAGAAGATACCGAAAGCTGAACTTCATGACATAATAATTTTTGAATATGTGGAAACGTGTTTATTAAAATCTCTGTTTTTGGTCCAGGGGTCACGTATGAGAGGGGAGGGGTTAGGTCTAATGCCCCCCCCCCCCTCCCTTTACCAACAAGCGTGCTGTACACGGTGATTACTAAGTGATTTGCTGAAATCAGATAGTTTAGGCAGAAAAGCGAAGATATCGCAACCCAACGTGCAGAAGAAGAAGATAAAGTATATTAACTCTTTCTAGCCCAGACAACATGGCATGTATGTAATCAGTTCTTGTCTGGGTGTTTTAAAACACGCCTGGTATGTTATTATTTCTTGTACATTTGCTGTGAGACTGACGCAGCACATATAGCGCTACCAAGGCCTGTACATTTGGTTTGAGCATGCTACAGAAATCTGGCTGCATATTTTAATATGCCTGTTTGAAAACTTTTTACACGTGCTTTTATTCTTTGTAGTTATTGTCGGCAATGAGTAAACGCTAAAAAAAACACCATCAAAAGTATATAGTATTATTAGACTCACATTGTTTATAGACCAAACAACACTCAATGGGAAAAAGGTGTTTATAGACCAAACAACACTCAATGGGAAAGTGGTGTTTATAGACCAAACAACACTCAATGGGAAAGTGGTCAACATCACACCTGCTGCCTTTACTTCCCAGGACCTTCACAGTACCCATTATGGCTAAGATCTATAAAATCATGTCTAGCGCTATATGCCAGAAGCTCCAAAGGTGTGGAAATGCCCCTTCCTTCACTAAATAATGAGACTTGAGTTGAGACTTAAGTTTGTCAGACAGTGGGAATAACAGGCTTAATACTGGGACGGAAATAATTAGGTTCATCCATAGTTAAACAATCTATCAAACATTAAATAATATAGCATAACACGTTTTTAATGCAAACACAACGTAATGTAAGACTTTGAATGTTTATGATATACAGTGAAATAAATAAACCAAAACTGTCCTCGAACGACTATCAGTGATTTTCCTGTTAACGACTGATCCCTCATATCTCGTTTCCAAGTTTATCCTTGGCATTAAACAGGAATGCAAGAATTAGACCTGTAAAAGGGTAAACAAAAAGGTTGAATTAGAAAGCAGAAACCATTCAGATTTTCTTGTAGAGTTGCCTGGAGTTAACACCACAGTCACACAGTCTACTCTGTGATAATACTGCTACATTTAGTCTGAAAATGGAGGTGGAGAAAGTCACTGTAGCTTTTCTCTGGCTTGATAACTAGTCGCACACACTTGTCCTGGCTGTAACCGACTCACAGTGCATGTTGAGAAAGGTGGAGGCAGGTATGCTGCATGCAGAGTCCCAGGCATCGCTTCTGAGATCTCAGTAGTTAGTCCTTTTTGATATTTTCTCCGGGGCATGAACTCTTTCAGACCCAAACAACGCATGATTTGTTGTTGACTATTCCCCACATATCTCAAATATCACATCAAATGTCTTCTTATTTTTAAGTTTTCGTCAGTGTATATCAAATAAATCTGGCAGCGACAGGTATATCTTTCATTCATTTATCAGTCCAAGAACACAGCAAGTGGTTAGAGGCGTCGTGGCAATGTTTAATGAAAATATAATGATATTTGTACAGAACCATGTGGATTCAAAAGGGTTAAGGGGTGTTAGGAAAGGAACAGGCAGAAAGATTAGCTGGTTATGAATCAGTGAGTGGTACATTTATGCTTGAAAAGCTAGATGTGGCCAAGGCCCTTTGGGAACAAGGGAAAGATGCAGAGGCTGGAACAGATCAATATGGTCTGAAGATAATCTTACAGCTAAGCGTGAGCCAAAGATCTGGTCCATACTTCACACTCAGGAGAATGGCAAAACCCTCGTATAATCAAACTGTTACTGTCACAATCAGAACTGGAACTCTTCGCTGGCTGCTGAAGAATAGGACAGAGCGCTAATGGGAATGTTTCTAGTGCTGTGATGTCAGTTTTTACCTCGCCACACTAAGCCACAACACTTGTGACATTTCAGTAAGCGTCCTCGTTTCTGCAACAAGCTAAGAGTTAAAACAGTCAAATGTGCCAAGCAGCAGTCTGTTTATATGTCCAACTGAATGTGAACCCAAGACTTTCCGCTGGTACGTGAGCGTGAAGATATAATTCAGTACAGCAATTCACACTTTAAAGTAAACAGGAAAGTTAAGTGTTGGGCATACAGACGTATTGGGCATACAGACGTATTGGGCATATATGGCTAGACCTATATTTTACAAACAAATCGGCGACGGTGGGTGATGTGGTCAAGATCACACTGACTGCCTTTACTTCCCATGAGTTTACCTGATACCCATTTTGAGACTAACTCCCACTTGTATACACACTAAAAGAATACATACCACTATGCAAGCAAGAGTTAAAGTTAGTTGTGTATCCTTTACAGGACGTTGCAAAACCAACCCAGCATTGATTTTTTAGGGGGGGGGGGGGGGGAGGTGTTGTGGTTTTTTTAAGGCAAATTCAAGTCCAGTGGTTTGCCATTGCTTTCTAGACGGTCGGCTTTCTCGATACCACTGTCGAAACCGGCGCAAGTTCCGCTGCTGGAATCGAACCCGGCAACTCGGCATTACGAAGCGCTTTTGCAGCGCCTAAGCCACAGACGCAAGCAAAGAGTAATTAAATTAAGTAAAGATGCCTTTCACCTCTAAGGCGTATCGGGCACATGGGAAGAGCAACCCATATTTTTACAGACCAAAGCACTAGGTGGGTAATGTGGTCAGCATTACGCCGGCCGTCGTTACTTCCCCAGGACATACATTCTGGTACCCATTTTTGGGCTGGGTCGACCTGCGACGCCCCATATCATGATACAAATCCCCGCAGCCAGCAGTGGGTTTCGATCTCGGTACGTTGGAATTACGAGTCCGACTCGCAACGTCTAAGCCACAGACGCCGACACAAGCAAGAGTACTTACTGATAAAGGAAAATCCGGCTATCAAGAAAAACAAGCCGTCCCAACCAAGGGAGGATTTTAGTGACTGTGACAAGAACACTCCCAGTGGTGCAGTGATCACCTGTTAATTATAACACACAAAAGTGAACAGTCAAATTCTACTAAATTATTGTCAATAACGAATTTGGACTGCAATGAATCTCCAGCAGGCTCAGTTTCTTATCTGGGTAGTACACTCTCAAATTGCTGCTCGCCCATCTGTTGATGTCTACAAATCGCTCTCTTGTCCTCGTCCTTTTCATCCAGTTGGTTTTGGAAAGAGTGTTGTCTTTTATTGTGTCCAAAATATTTACATTATTTTGTCTTTCAGAAACTTGAAGAAAGTAAGCAATATATTTTTGGGTGCTTTCTTAATATCCTACCCCAAACAGGGGAAACCCACAGATCACGAGACAGTCTAGTATTTCAAGGGGTGGTAGATAAACTGCATGCTGTCGCGGGACCTAGGCTGCATGCTGTCGTGGGACCTAGGCTGCATGCTGTCGTGGGACCTAGGCTGCATGCTGTCGTGGGACCTAGGCTGCATGCTGTCGTGGGACCTAGGCTGCATGCTGTCGTGGGACCTAGGCTGCATGCTGTCGTGGGACCTAGGCTGGACCCTCCCGTGGGACGTCGGTGGGCTGGGGTTAGGGTCAGTTTGAGATGTTTTGGGGGTCGTTAATCTGGGATAGGATATTACGAAGAAACCTTTTTTTTTAAACATTTTTGGCGCACGTAGGTATATGGTTAAAAAGAGAGCAGAAACAACACTATCTTTATGCGAACTGGGCATATAGGGCTAGACCTATATTTTATAAGCCAATCGGCACTTAGTGGGTGATGTGGACAACATAACGAGGACCGATTGTACTGCTCAGGACTTTACCCTGAACCCATTTAAGCCTGGGTCGATTAACCGGTTAAGACGGATAACTGAATAAACGGATATCCGAATCTACAGTAACGTGATTTCACTGCCGGCTATGGCCGAAAATTAAAATAAAATCCGTTGACAGTGAATAATAAATACATATTGCATTAAATTTTAAATTACGATCAATTTAAACTTCAATATGAGAGTAGTAATGTACATAAATGTATTTTGATACTGTTAACCTACTTTACTTTCCAATAGTCAGCCACAGAATTCTGTGTCTTTGATGTTTCTGTATGTCGATCTGCAGTTTTTAAACGATGACGCATAACATAAATTAACGGTTAACCAAGTGACGGGTAATGGAAGTTTTACTGTATTTGAATTCTAGTACATGTTTGATTGTAATATCTTTAATATTAAAGTTAACAATTTTTTGTTTTCTGCATAATACCATAGTTTTCATAGTGTTTATTTTGATAATATATATATATATATATATATATATATATATATATATATATATATATATATATATATATATATATATATATATATATCAGTCAATATGTTGTCCCCTAAGTTTACTAACAACACAAGATAGGACACAAGAAGGTAATAATACCTGCATTAAAAAGAAAGTTGTAATAAGACCGTGTCTGCATTATACTGACAGACAAAAAACATGACATGGTTCGACCATCTAGTGAGAATACTGCCAGACGAAACTGCCTCTGAGACTTTTTACGGCGGAACATCCGCGAGGAAGGCGAGGGGAAATCTATGGATTACTCAGATGCAAAATAACTGTCAACTGATTGGTTGAGGTATTCTTGTGTGCAATCTGAATACATGTAATTGCACACATTAAATTAAATAGATTTTGAATGTCAAAATTATGAAAAAAATTATGTTTCTTTCAGTAGCAATGTACATGTAATTACACAATAGGACTCACCTGGGAAGTAAAGACTAGCCCATAGTTAATGGGAAGATACTTGCGACCGAAGCACTTGGCTGTGGCTGTTGGAAATAAAGCATAGCTCCCGGAGAATGAGCCAAACAGCAGGCAGACATAGACAAAGAACAGGGGCTTTCCTCCTAGTTCTGACAGTTGTAGGGTCAGCATCGAGCAGGTGAAAGCAGCGCTCATGATGAGACAAGATACCTGTACAGATGCAAGTTTATTCAATGATTAATACTGCGATTTACAGATCTAACTGCGACTTACAGATCTAACTGCGACTTACAGATCTAACAGCGACTTACAGATCTAACTGCGACTTACAGATCTAACTGCGACTTACAGATCTAACTGCGACTTACAGATCTAACTGCGACTAACAGATCTAAAACCTTGGAAGTGAAAAAACCCTGTGTACATTTGTACCATTACTGGTATCGTCGTTTATGGATGTGGAGTTGAGAATTCAGTATCATAATTCAAAAATACCGAGAAATTAGTGGCTGCCTGAACGATTGAGAACAGTAAAATTATCATCAATATTATCAGGTGCCGTGCCGACTGGCGTGGACGTGGACTGTCCTGTGATGTAATCCTAGGGGGAGATATTGGAAAAGCACCCGACGTTCTGTAAAGGACATAGTGATTGATGATGATGATGACTTTCTTTTCGCATGAATATCTCTATGCGGGCACACGGTGTCTCTTATAGACCACATCTGCAGAATCTCAGAACATTGCACAAACTCTCTAGCACCGACGAAGATCCCAGTGTGTATACACCAAAATAACACAAACTATAAATACTATTTTGTTGATAGCTTTTCTAATTTAGACATTTTGTCTGGTCAGTGTGGCCTGCTATTTTTTCCCCAGCAGCCAAATGATAACTAATGTGTACTAATAACTCATAACGGATAACTCATAACTTATAACTAATAACTCAAAACTGATAGCATATAACTGATAACTCATAACTGATAAACCCTAACTGATAGCTCATAACTGATAACTCCTAATTGAAAACTCATAACTGATAACTCATAATTGAAAACTCATAACTGATAACTCCTAATTGAAAACTCATAACTGATAACTCATAATAAACACAATGTCCCAACGATCCTTTCGAGCGAAAAGCGAAAATCTAGAAGAAGAAGAAGAAGAAGAAGAAGAAGAAGAAGAAGAAGAAGAAGAAGAAGAAGAAGAAGAAGAAGAAGAAGAAGAAGAAGAAGAAGAAAAAGAAGAAGAAGAAGGAGAAGAAGAAGAAAGAAGAAGAAGAAAGAAGAAGAGGTGAAGGAGAAAAGGAGGTACTAAACCAGTCCTGTTTTACTTTGTAAAATATCAAAACAGTTTACACCATAAGATAAATTAGCACTGGTTTAACAAAAACGGAGACTAACATCTTACATCCTCACTAGTCAGAGTTTGTACACAGGACCAAACATATACTTCACACTCTATGAGTCAAACATTCTGATCTTTCGGCCACTCATTCACAAACACAGAAACACGCATATAATTTACCCTAAAAGAAAATTTATCAGCCAGGGCTCCCCAAAAGATTCTTCCTACAGCATTGAAAGCAGAACCAAACGAACCTGCCAAGGCCATAAATGTGTCATCTGAAATGAAAGTTTGGCCGTATGCCTGGGAAAACAAATATTATTTTAAAAATGCTACTGATTTAATATAGATGGAATTTATTCCCAGTCTGAATTATTTACCTGAGAGAGAGACAGACACAGAGAAAAAGATAGAGAGACACTAAGAGATAGAAAAGAGAGAGAGATGAAGAGAAAGAGAGAGAGAGAGAGATAAGTAGTAAAGGGTTGGAGGATGGGGAGATGGGTATACACAAGAATAATCTTCTTCTTCTTCGCGTTAACCAGCTGTACACTCTGGCGGAAAGTTCTGGTTGTTCGTCCACACCTGGACTGCAGTCCTGCTCCAGAACCTGGGTGTTGCGTGTGCATCAGTTTTACAGATCTGATTCACTTGAATGCAGACTGTTGGTGCCTTGCCTCTCAGGCAGATGCACTCCGACTTCAAAGGAAGCTACCAATTAGTCGACTCTTACGACATGCTTTTTGGTAGGCAGTGGGTCTATTCTTGTGTTCCCCCCCCCCCCCACAATGGGGCCCCGGATCCCACACAGGGATACAAGAATAATAAAAATTGGCAACGATAGTAAAGAAATCTCGCATTGTATAGTGTAACCAATAACAACAAAAACCCCTAAAAACTGCATAACTATAGATTTGAAATTCTCTCATCGAAAACGGTTTCGCTCAAACCCTATTTACTTGGGAGCTTCCTTCAAAGTCGGAGTGCATCTGGCTGAGAGGCAAGGAACCAGCAGTCTGCATACAAATGAGTCAGATCTGTCAAATGGATGCACACACAACACGCAGGTTCTGGAACAGTACTGCAGTCAGAAGTAGATGAACAACCAGAACTTTCTGCCAGAGTTTACAGCTGGTGAAAGTGAAGCAGACAAAGAAGAAGACAGCACTCGGAACACCCCCATAAGCGCTCCATCCTCATCTTCAACAGCAAGCGAAGAGCTAAAATTCCGATGGTACCAGTAACTGTCTGATTCTCTTTGCTTTAAACAAATACTATTTAAAGAAAAAAAAAAAAGAATTACCTAATAAATTACTAAAGTAAAACACAGACATATGTGTATTAAAAGGTGCGAAAATAAAATAATTTCCTAGTGGGTAAACTAATTCGTTTCCCCACTTTTTCTGCACTCTTTCTTAAAAGTGTCGTTGGCATGTTGTGGTTTACAGCTAAGCTCTAATATCTTTCCTTTTTGTTCGATTTCTCCAAACTCATAATTGGTCAACGATATCTATGTCTGAGGACAGTGGGTCTGTTTTGTTTTCCTTCTTCTAAAAACTGGAAACTAGTTACAGCAGAACTCCTAACATTCGTCGTTAATTAGTTCGAGGACGATTATTGAAAGGGACGAATATCAAACATATTTTCCCAACAGGAATTAACTAAACATGGTTTAATCCGTTCCCAGCTCTCAACTTTGCCTATCCATTCTTTAACAAAAACAAAAACGAAAACTCGAAAATCGATCTAGGAAATCATTGCAAAATACATTTTAATTATATTAATCACTGTATTTATTATTGCTTTATTATTGTGACAGAAATTTAATCGTCTTAATGACGTAAATATGCAGCGGGCCTACATACATTTGGCCTACATAAATATACATTTTAAATGAAATTTACCATTTGGATAATAACAACAACAACGCACGCACGCACCCACCCAACCTCTCCCCCCCCCCCCCCACACACACACACATTAGGCTATTATTTAGAAAGGGTGTCACCTTTCTTTATAACATCAGTTAAGGTCAGTTATGGTGATCGATGTCCTCATGATTCATCAGCACTCGTGTCTTTAAATTTTGTTTTAAAGAAGTTATTCAGTGTTTGTTTTTGCTCTTTGTTTTATTTTAAACTTTCCAAAAGTGTCCAAACACATCATCATCATATGAATTGATAATTGATGAACTATAGCGATATATGGGTGCCATTTTCTCTATGGAAGCCTGCATGTTACCTGAGTGGACGTCCGTTCCTTAATTTTAGCAACTGGAACGGGCCCATTATCTTCTTTTTACCTCATCTGATCAATCGCCGGGCACGTCAGAGGTAGAACGGATTTCGACTTTTGGGGCGAACGTCTGATCACATCAACACTGCATGAGTTCTTTACAGAGCTACTTGGTGGCCAGCAATGCTAGGCCATTTTATATGGCGCACATAACCTAGTCGCAATTATAACCTAAAGCTCCTCATTCGAGGATGCTGGTTAAATGTACCAATTTTTTTTTTTTTTTTTTTGCAAAGCAAGCCAAGAAAGATATTACAGTAGTTCTCTTTTGACCGGACTGTATCGTTCGTTTCAAGAGTGCAGTATTCATAATGATCTCTATGGATAGTGGCTGGGGAAAAGGAGTTTATGCTTTGTGTGCCATTCTACAATTGGCTAACCGTTATGTTGAGAGGGACACACTGGATACAAATCGACGACGACGACGACGACGAAGAAGAAGAAGAAGAAGAAAAAGAAGAAGAAGAAGAAGAAGAAGAAGAAGAAGCAGAAGGAGAAGGGGTGAGGATGATGATTATGATAATGAAGATGATGATGATGATCATTATGATGATGATGGTGGTAGACTAAAGAGGAACGACTTTTTACCTTGTACAGAGTAGAGACGAAGATAATGCCCTGTCCGTTGAACACAAACATCAACCATATAAAATAAAAATATCTGGATCTGAGAACCTCCAAGGGTTTCAGGTTGACGTCGTCTCCAGTTTCTGACTTTCCACTGAAATGAAATTAAAAACACAAGTGTCAATATCAATTGCTTACAGTTGGCTGCTGTAGCAGTAGCATTGGGAGAGTTGGGGAGAGAGGGTGGAGGGGGGCGGGGAACTAAAGGAGTACAAATCTCCAGGTTCCGGTGTTCCTTCTAATGCACTGGGCGGAGCCGCGTTAGCGCAGTCGATAGAAGACTCGCTTTCAAATCCAGCTACTACTCGCTACAGCCACGGTCGGTGTTCGAAACCGGGCGGTTCCCGGGGTTCACTCAGCCTCTAGGAAATGGTTGACACTCTGAGGGGAATGGAGGAACGTCGCTGTAGCTAAGGAGTTACGTGTGGACGGCGACACAGGCAGACAGTTTCTTATCAGCTGTTCGTACTGGTGGCATAGCACTTATGGTTTATGACCGTGTGCAGTGACGCTGGTTCACATCTCTCGACTTTACCTTTCACCTTTTCTAATGCACTGGTTGAGAAGCAATCCGCCAGCCTATTGACATGCAGGAACAGGGTTTGACTCCCCCCCCCCCCCCCTCCCACGCCCTGGTGAATTACAACAAGACCGCCTACCTGCAATAGTGCCAGCAACACAAACAATATACTAACATGGTGGTGGTACTGGTGGTGGTAATTGCTTGTAAACGATTTAAAAAAAAAAAAATCCGCAGAATATAAAAGTTCATACATGAAAACAAGACAGACACAAAAGGGTGTTTTATAAACCTGGATGAATCTGTGATTCTTTAACCAAGGACGTTTTAACTGCTGTCTTTTGAAATAACGTTTAATAAGGAATCAGTCTTACACACAGTGATATTCTCGTAGCACACCCACACACACAGACACACACACACACACACACACACACACACATCCTCCCACACACACAAGAACCATCTTTCTTTCCTGAACTACCACTATGGAAATTCAGCCCTAGTGGTCTAAGCCATAGAGCCTTGGAGTAGCGGCTAGACGCTTGCATGCGGATCAGACAGTAGTGAGTTCGGGTCCTGACAAAGCCGGACTTTTTTCAAAAATGATCTTGGCTCCCAGGTCGACCCAGCCTTTAATGGGCACCTGGAGCAGTCCTGGGAAGCAAAGGCGGCAGGCGTGATGCTGACCACATAACCCACCAAGTGCCGATTTTTTTCTTTCTTTTGTCAATGTCTGCTTATGCCGCTAGGTCTCGCAGTTCATCAGACGATCGGCAGTCGAGCCAGAGCGCGCTCAGTCGCTTGATATGCCCTGATGTTATGCAGTCTCAAGGTGTCAGTGACTCCTTCAGTCCATATTTTTCTCGGTCTTCCGATGCCTCTTGATGTTTCAATTTTCAGGTTGCGTGCTTTTGCTGCTGACATTGTTGGTTTCATTTTCATTAAGTGGCCAAACCATTTCATTCTTTGTTTCTCAATAAAAGTGCCGATTGGTCTATAAAATATCAGTTTAGCCCTATATGCCCAGTACCCCTAAGGGCGTGGACAATGATCCTTTATTTTTCTCTTCTCTCTCTCTCTCTCTCTCTCTCTCTCTCTCTCTCTCTCTCTCTCTCTATATATATATATATATATATATATATATATATATATATATATATATATATATATATATATATATATATATATATATAATTACAAAGCTTGAGTGGTCAAAACACTAAACCTCTATACTCTCCAGGTTATTACCTGGTACTCATTTTAAGTTGGGTCAACTTTGAGCCAAGGTCAGTTTTGTAGTAAATAACATATACTCCAACTCGTTGCGGATTTGAACCCTAGATCTGCGGACTGGCAGGCCAGCATTTAGCTGCTGTGTTACTGCGACTCGCATAATTTAGTAGAGCATTGGGTGTGTAATATTTACCCAGCGTTTTTAAAAGAAAACCGCGAGAGAAAGATATGTAATTTCAGCAACAAATAATTATGAGAGCAAATCATGAAGGTGCACATATTTTCAACAATTCCAATATTATTTCATAATTAACACATGCCAGTGAACTTTGTAGAACGACTAAAGACAAGGAACGATAGTTATGGCATTCGAAAATGAACGAGAGGGAAAATGTTGTGAACAATAAATGAGATGAATTCCAGAATGGCAAAGAAGTAAGAGAAATGTCTCGATAACCAGTTTTATCTACAGTTTTAAGACAACGAAGAAGGTGTTATACTAGATTTATCCTGATAGGGAACGAAAGGGAATCAAGAAGCAGACACTGAAATGGGAAACAAACCTGTTTAGGAAATGACCAGGTCCAAGAGAAACACTAAAACCAAAGTTGTTAAGAGAAGCCAGAGGCGATCGATAATATTTTATTATTGCTATCGATGATAGAACAGAGTGGAAAAATAAACTATGAACAAGAACGGATTTCACAAGATAAAACAGAGTGGAATAATAAACTATGAACAAGAACGGATTTCACAAGATAGAACAGAGTGGAAGAATAAACTATGAACAAGAACGGATTTCACAAGATAGAACAGAGTGGAATAATAAACTATGAACAAGAACGGATTTCACAAGATAGAACAGAGTGAAATAATAAACTATGAACAAGAACTGATTTCATAAGATAGAACAGAGTGGAATAATAAACTATGAACAAGAACGGATTTTACAAGATAGAACAGAGTGGAATAATAATCTATGAACTATTTGTGATATATAATGGCACACAAATGATGATAATTATATTGATAAATTGGTAGGGGGAGGGAGAACAACCACAAATGCAGATGTGGACCGAGGTCGCCGTGGCGTAGCGGCTAGACGCTCGCGTGCGGATCGGAATGTCGTGGGTTCGCCCCCTGGCGGAGCCGGACTTTTTTTTTTTTTAAATGACCTTGACTTTCAGGTTGACCCAGCCCTGAATGGGTATCGGGTGCAGTCCCGGGAAGTAAAGGCTGCCGGCGTAATGCTGACCACATCACCCCTCTTGTGCTGATTGGTCTATAAAAATATAGGTTTAGCCCTATATGCCCTATACTCCTAAAGGCATGGAAAAGGGTCCTTTACTTACAGATGTGGACGAGAAAGATAGAAAAGAGCCAGCCTGTAAATCATAGTTACCTTTTCGGTTGGTTTCTTCCCGTTGAAGCCGCAGCTGTTTCCGAGGCTGCTTCCACAGTCAGGTGACTACAGGAGGAAAATATGTGCATGTGTTGTAAGCATAACCCAAAGTCAGAGGTTTTAAACCTGCGACTCGCGCATACTGGGGGCAGAGAGGGTGGGGTTGGGGAGGGTTGCGCAAGAAAGTTTCAAAGGGAAAAAAGTGGGGGGCGGGGGGGGGGGGGGAGAAAAGATTTAAAACAATTTTTAAACTGAGTGCAATTTTAATCGCCATAATATGATATACAATTTCTTTCATTATTCCTTGTCCAACATGAGACCCCCCACCCCCGCCCCACCACCCATTTCGACCACCCCCCCTACCACCCATTTCCGACCCCCCCCCCCCCCCCATTTTCGACCACCCCCCCCACACACACGCCATTTCCGACCACCCCCCCCCACCCCACCACCCATTTCCGACCACCCCCCACCCTCCCCCCACCACCATTCCCGACCACCCCCCCCACCACCCATTTCACGACCACCCCCCCACAAACCCAAATTTCCGACCACCCCCCCCCCCCACCACCCATTTCCGACCACCCCCACCCCCCACCCCCAAATAAAGCAAGCAGACATCATCAAGACAAAACGGTGTCAACCATCACATTGGTATTTGACACTAAAGCATCAGGTATATAATTTAACACTTTGTTTAATATGGATGGAATCTGTTCTTTCTGTTCTTCTTTTTGTAATCACTTTTTTTTTAATTGGAAGGGGTTCTGGTGTGGAAGAAAGAGAGGGTGGTTGTAATAAATTCAAGGGGTTTCACTGAAGAAAAAAAAAATACTGCTCTAGATACTAATGACGTATTTACAATCTTACTAGCAAAATAAATAAATAAATAGATACAATTTAAAAAAACAACTGCCGAATACTGTCTGTGTAGTCATAAACTACAGTCACTTTTTTCTGTCTAGCCCTGCATTGGGGGGGGGGGGAGACTTAGAACCTGAGTATTTAGGACCGCATGGCTAGTGCTGTCGCCACGGACTGTGTATGTGAGGATTATATGTTTTGCCCCCGACAGACAACAAATCCCCAACCTTATCAGAAGATTCGAATCCGTGTCTCCCGATTGTTTCCCGGCGTTGCAACCTTTCGAACAGCCGCTCCTCTGATCTGACTAGCATTGGCTCCAAAGTAAGCTCAGTCTAAAATGGTCACAAGGAAATCAAAATATATCAGCCCAGCTCAATATGTCCTGATGAGCCACTGGCTCACACCAACGCATCTGAAAGACCTTCTCTGTGAGTATCAAGTTAAGTGCGCCAAATCCTTGAAGTGGACGAACAACCAAAACTTTGTGCCAGAGTTTACAGCCGGTGACTGCTATGAAGAATGCAAGTGTGTATACAATCATCATCATCATGTAGCAGGTCCTTTGCAGAACGTCGCTCTCATCACAGTCTGCCTGTAAGAAACTCGGTCTCTTGCCAGTTCTCCCGCCTCATGAACTTTCACACTCAAGGAGTCACTTATATCCTGTGCCCATCTTCGTGTCGGTCGGCCTCTGCCCCTCCTTCCTGGTACCATACCTTTTGCTATAATTTTTTTCAATCCGTCATGGCGCTTGATGTGACCAAAATATTTCAGCTTTCGAGAAAGGATGCTGTTTATTAGCCAATCTTCCTTGATGTTCAGATCTTTTAAGATGTCAATATTTCTCATCTTCTTTGTCCAAGATATTCTGAGAATCTTTCTATAGCATTTCAGCTCAAAAGCCCCTATTCTCTTTCTTAAGGACTGAGAGATAGTCCACGACTCACATCCGTATGTAGTCAAGGGAAGATGCACGCTCTCAAAATTCTAATTTGTATTTCCTTGCTGGTGCTTAACCATCGACTTTTAGGGCTGTTCAATCTTTGCATTGCTATGGCCATCCTCCTTTTAATTTCTGTCGAACAGGCTCCATTGTTGTTTATTATAGAGCCTAGATATTCAAAGTGTGTGACATTTTCAATTTCTTCATCATTTATTGTTATTTTTGGGTGACAGCCAGTTTTATCTGTGGACATTATTTTCGTTTTCTTTAAATTCAAGAACAGATTTTGATTTTCACTGTGCTTTTGGACAGCCAATATTAAATTTTCTATTCCCTTTACGCTATTCGAACGGAGGACTGTGTCATCTGCGTAGCGTATAGGGTTGCCACCAATTTTGAGCGGATCATAACTGACACAAGTCTGGTCATTTTTGACATTTCTCATTATATTTTCTGCGTATATATTGAATAGGTATGGTGAGAGAATGCACCTCTGCCTCACCCCCTTTTGCACATCGAACCAATCAGGTGTTTCACCAGCTGCTCTGATGGCTGCTTGTTGTTCATGATAGAGATTTTCAATTAATTGCACTAAATGCGCTGGAAACCCCATACTTTTCATAATAGTCCACAGTTTGTGGTGTTGGACACAATCAAATGCCTTGCTATAATCAATAAAACAAGCATGAAGATCTACATTGTATTCTCTGCATTTTTCAAAAATTATTCTCATATTAAATATGTGATCCCTAGTTCCTCTACCCTGTCTGAATCCCGCTTGTGCTTCATCTAGCTCATATTGTAGTTTCCTTTCAATCCTTTTCATGATAATTCGTAAGAGGATTTTGCTAGTTTGACTTATTAATGCGATGGTACGGTAGTTAGAGCATAGTTTTGGATTTCCTTTCTTTGGGAGAGGGATATACACTGTTCTTTTCCAAGCTTTAGGCCAAATGCCACTGTTCCAGATCTTCGAGCACAGTGCATGGTAGATTCGGACGCTGGCCTCTCCTCCTGCTTGAATTAGTTCTGCTGGTATTTCGTCACAACCTGGTGACTTTCCTTTCTTTAGGCTGTGTATTGCTGATCGTACCTCATCCAGCAAAGGCTCTGCTTCTTTTTCATAACTTTCACAAGTTGTTTTTGAATTACCTGTCACATCATCATACATTTCTCTACAGTATTCTTTCCATCTTTCTAATATGTCTTTGGTTTCCGTTAATGTGTTACCGTTTTTATCACTTATTACATGAAAAGAAGGCCTGAATTCGTATTTTAATGTTTTAATTTCTTTAAACATGTCTGTAAACAATAGTGTCGTCAATAACAACGACCCGGAAACATTATCTCTGCACTCCTGGATAGAAGAGGGTAGACAAAGAAACCAGTACACAGTGATACCTACTTAGGTGTGTCCATGGTAGTGGTGTTAGGTACATCCTCAACTGATGGGGGTCCAGGGTTGACTCCCTCCTCCAGCTGATGCACTGACCTGCGTGTGACACGTCACAAAAGTGTGAATGTTTATGTGAAGTGTGCCAACACTATAGCTACAGCACAAGATGGAAGAGCCACCCGAATCGAATGAATGAAAGAATGACCCCAAAAAAAGAAAGAATGAATGACAGAAAAGAAGAAAAAAAAATTTAAAAAAAAAGAAGGAAAAAGACAAAAACATCAGTATACAGAAAAAGTAACAGAAAGAAGCAATAAGACAAAAAGAAATAAAGGAGGAGAGAAAAAAAATAGGAATAGAAAGACATATATGCATGTGTACAGAAAGCAAGAAGGGCAAACGAAATGGACAGAAAGACTGAAAGAAAGCAAAATATGACACACAGGCCCATTAATATTTTCGAAAGGCAGGAGCAGACTCGACGTGCTTAAGCCATATTTAAGTTCGCAATAGTAACAATAATAGTGTCAATTAATTATTATGATTTGTTTAATAGCAACAGTAAAATATAGTATAATATATTTAAAATAATATGAATTATGTAAGCAAATGCATAAAAATATGACACTAAAAGCAATGAGAATAAAAGTAAGAGACCACTTTACTTATTTAGGTTCGTAATATTAATAGTCAACAGCGTAATGCTGACCACATTATCCATTAAGTGCCGACTGGTCTGTAAAAATATGGGTGCTCTTCCCATATGTCCGATGCGCCTAAGGCGTGAAAAGGGATCTTTATTTACTTATTTATAGTCAGGGAAACACGCAGATCAAAACACACACTATGACACGCATTGACAAGGTGTACGAATCTCCATGTTCCGGTGTCCCTGCTAATGCACTGGTTGAGTAGCAACCCACCAGCCCATTGCCATACAGGAACAGGGTTTGACTTGCACCCCAGGCCCTGCTGCAATTTACCAAGACTGTCTACGTTCAATAGTGCCAACAACACAAACAATACACTAACATGACACACACACCCTAGGCTAGAAAAGGGGGGGGGGGGGGTGGGGGGGGGGGACCAGAAGAAAAGAGTACACAGTGATACATACTTAGGTATTTCATTGGCAGTGGTGATAGATACTTCCACAATTGATGGTGGTCCGGAGTTCAACCCTTCCTGCAACTGCTGTCCTGACCTGGGTGGTGTGGAATGAATAGAATCAAATCAAATCTAGGAAGGCTAAACAATAGTCGTAACAGTAATTGTGATAATACATAATATTAGTAGGAATAAAAGAATAGTAGAAATACAAATTTTAAAGATTCATAACTGGTACTGATAAGAGATAAAATAGAGTAACAATATGAAATAAAATAAAATAAGCATTAAAATAGTAGAAAAAAAAATGTGACAATAATAAAACTGTTGAGATGAAGGTATGCTGGACATTGATGTCTCCTGGATTTAGAACACCTAGACTGTGGATGATACGATTTTTCAATTTAAGGCGCGTGATATGATCGCCAAAGCAAGATTTTATAGCGGCGACAGATATATCCTCTTTTCCTCTGTTGTCATAACTGTTAAAATTAAGGGGGATTGGTTTAAGGGTTTTCTTTTCAACATTTATAGAAGGAGAGACAATCATAATGTAAGACATGGGGGGGAGGGGTCTGGGGGGGGGGGGGGGGGGGGAGAGAGGTGTGAAACGTAAGAAATAATGAAAGAATAGTATTAGACACTACTGTTATAGTGGTAGAACACAGTTCGCCAGCCTTCTGTAGGTGAGATCCAGAGTTTAGTTCTCCACTTGTCATCTCTCTGGCCTCGCCTCAGCATGTCTAGACAGTAACGGCTAAACGCTCGCCTGCGGATCAGAAGGTCGTAGGTTCGGGTCCTGACGGCACCAGACGTGTTTGAAGGATGACCTTCGCTCCTACGTCGATCCAGCCTTAAACAGGTATTATATACAATCCCGGGAAGTAAAGGCGGCCACATCACCCACCGAGTGCAGATTAGTCTGTAAAATATAGGTCTAGCCCTATATGCCTATACGCATAAAGACGTAGAACATGGTACTTTACTGTTACAGTAAGATTACACCCACACCCAGAGTTAGAAGAGGAAAGAGTAAGAGAACTGTACACAGCAATACCTACTCAGATGCGTCCATAGTGGTGGTGGTAGACACTTCCACAGTTGTTGGTGGCCCAGGGTTCAATCCCTCTTCAAGCTGATGCGCGGTCCTGAATATAGCAAGTGACAAAAGTGTGAGTGTTTGTGTGAGATGTTTTAGCAGCATCAGTTTCTGTTGATCTCTATAATACAATGTGGAAGAGCGACCAGGTAGAAGTAAGGAATGGTGGAATGACACAAACATAAACAATGAAGTAAGTTAAGAAAAGAAAGTAATAAAGGGAGAAAAAAGTGGAAAATGACAACAACAAAAAAAACCCAGAAAAAACACTTACATCAAGAAAGACAGAAAGAGAAAGAAAGAAATACACATATAAGAAAAGACATACATAAATACACAGAGAAATTTTGGAAAGAGAGAAAAACAGATTATGTCCACATTTAAAGCCAATCATTGAATTGTTTAAATTTGAACTGAATAAACAATAAATCTATTAAGACAAATAAAGAAAAACAAAATAAAACAAACGTGGCTGATTTTATTTTTCCTGTTATTCCTTAATAACGTCCTTTTCAGGACGTAATTTTTTCTTATTTGAAGCCCCACTCTGGCTTTTGCCAGGGGCCGCAATATAGGCAGGCCATCAATATGGCCAATTGTCTGAACGCGATTTCTGGGACCTCTCCACGGTGATCCTCATCCGCATGGTGGCACTTTGTGTCATCAGGTGTTTATCGCTTGTGTGATGTCCTAGTGGGGTAGAAAGTCAGTCAGTCAGTCTGGCTGATTTACATATATTTTTCCACAATAGTCAATAACTCACCCATTTACATGCTGATCTGACTTAGGAAATGCTTGTTGAGGTGCTGTCTTCTCTTCCTCCTCAAATGAAGTAGTCTGCTGGCGAGGTTCTTCAACAATGATGGTGCTGCTATTCGTCTGTACAAATCAACAAACAAGACCAGTACTTATTTTGCCATACTATAAAAATCTGTTAGTGAATTGTCCAGCTTTTCTTAGTTTCTTTGTTTGCACAACTTCATCCACAATATACAACAAAAAACAACAGTATCGAATGAATGGTTTGATGTGAGGATAATATGTCGACTAACAATATACAACAAAATACAACAATATCGACTGAATGTTTTGATGTGCCATGATGATAATCTGTCGACTAACAATAAAAAAGAAAAAAAAAAAACACAGTATCGACTGAATGGTTTGATTTGAGGATAATCTGTCGACTAACTAACAATACGTACTGACAGTGGGAAACAAAATAAATATTTTGAAAAATATACTGTTAAAGAAATAATCTACATATTTCATCATCAGCAATATTAACCTTGTCTTAAGTGGCTCCTAGAATATATGACAAAACTCCCCAGGGCCAACTTACAATTTTGTGTGCGATTAAAATGGGGAAGGAAAAAAAGAGGCCACATAGAAAGTATAAACATATGCATTAAAAAGAGAACGTCTATATATCGTGTCAGTATGTGTGTGTGTGTGAGTGCGTGTGTGTGTGTGTGTGTAAGAGTGCGTGTGTGTGCGTAAGAGTGCGTGTGTGTGCGTGTGTGTGTAAAAAAAAGGGGGGGGGGGCAGTGGTTGATGGCTGCTGCCTAAAATAAATACAAATCTTGGATGGGGGTTGCCTGTAGCGAAGGTCTCAATGTCCCGGGGCCCAGGGGCCGAATGTAGGTTTCAGCTTAGCCTAGGCCTCAAAATCTGCAGTGGCGCAAAAATCCCCCCCCCCCCCCCCGCAAATGCAGTTTTTTTTCAATATATTTTAACTCCAACGCGCCCGCCAAACACCCCCCCCCTCCCCACACCCGACAAGATATTTTATATTTGGATTAAAACAATTTTGGGTATATTATCTCAGGTTTCTCTGATTGTGCAAACTTTATAGTTTTTTTTCTTTTAATAAAAGCTAAACGACCATACATTTTCTATCAGCCACATACTTTTAAAAACATAAATATTTTAAAGTCTTTTGAGATAAGCAGGTGTAATTCAAAACGGCAGAGGCCTCGCGGTTTTATGTAGCCAAGGACCACATAGAGCTCTTTTCCAGTCCTGCTTGATCTCTAGGTTCTGGCGAATATAATGCCATAGAACAAACAAACAACAATTGTAAAGAAATGTCTTTCGTTGACTTTCTCTACTTCTCTATCCATACATCTTTACATGTTTTCATAGGCGTATATGCTATTAACAGGTCTTTATGATGTCTGATTACAGGACTGGAACACGTCTCACATGTGTAAAACGTCAAATACAACTGTCACAGATATAAAACGTCAAACACAAGTGTCACAGATATAAAACGTCAAATACAAGTCACACAGATGCAGAATGTCAAACATAAATGTCACAGATGCAAAGGTAAAAAAAAAAAAAAAAAGTCTCACGTAGACGCAGAACGTCAAACACAAATGTCACAGATGCAAAATATTTAAAATAAGTGGCAACCGCGCAAAACGTCATACGCAAATGTCACAGATGAAAGACTCAACTTTACCTCAGAACTTGGGTAACAGAGAAGTAAACTCCCAATGAGCTGCATGACAGCGTAACATCCTCCCAGCAGGATGAACGTCCAGGGCACCATCTCTAAAATACTATCTTGACTGAAGTACCTAGACAAGAAGGCATCACGTGTGTCTACAAACATATCAACAAATCCATACAACGGGCAAGTAATTGTAATTTTCTTCACAGACACACCCTCGCCTTTTCTCGGAGGGTATAAAATATTTCCACAGGAAAGGAGACGATTATTTAGGATGGGGCTAAAAATGTTATAGCCGGACTTTTTTTTTCTTCAAAAAAAAAAGACCTTGGCTCCCAGGTCGACCTAGCTTTGAGTGGGTACCAGATGTAGCCATGGGAAGTAAAGGCGACACACCGAGTGCCGATTGGTCTATAACATATTGGTCTAGCC